GGGGGCAGGTGGGGGAGGAAGGGGTGGGGAGATGGGGAGGAGGTGGGGAAGGAGGGAGGGAGAACTGGAGGGAGGGATGGGAGGGGAGGTAGAAAGGGAAGCAGGGAGGGACGAGGGAGGATGGAGGGAGGGAAAAGAGGGGGAAGGATGGGGGCTGGAGGGTGGTTGGAAGGGTGGGTAAGAAGGGAAGAAGGAGAGGAAAGAGGTAGGGACGACGGAAGGAGGGAGGGAAAAGAAGGAGGGATGGAGGCAGGAGGGTGGGAGAGACCAGGGAGAGAGGGAAGAAGGGCTGGAGGGGAGGAGGGAGAAGAGGAAGTGGGGGGACAGTGGGGGGCAGCAGGCAGGCAGGCAGGGGCCGGGGTGTGGGCAGGGATCAGGGCTGGGGGTCGCTGAGGCGGCCCATGAAGAGAGGGACGGCGCCGGCATCATGCCAGAGGACGAAGAGGAAGGGGCGCAGGGCATCCAGCAGCAGGACCGTGCGCGCCACTGAGGTGGCCATGGCGCCCGCCGCCTCCACGCCGGCCTCGTCCAGCACCAGCACCGCTCGGTGCCTCGCTGCATCCACCGCCACCACTGGGCCCCGTGCCAGCCCGCACAGCTCCGCGTCCAGGAACAGCCCGTAGTCTGCAGCATCCATCCTCAGCGCCAACCCCGAGGGGACACGGGGGATGCCGGGGGCACAGGGACACCGAGGGGTGCACAGGGGAAACTGGGGGGCTTCGGTGACACGTGGGATGTGGGGGATGCCAGGGGCACACCAGGGACATCAGGGGCAAGGGGGCAATGGGGGGTACTGGGGAACATGAAGGGACACAGGGGACACCGGGGAGATGGGGGATATTGGGGACACCAGAGACAGCAGGGGTAATATGGGGACCCTGGGGGCGTGGGGGACACAGGGGTACTGGGGGACCCTGGGGATGTTAGGGCCCCTGGGGAAAGGGACCCGCATAGGGACCGGGGAGGGGCCAGTGACGTCCTGCAGGGAGTGATGTCATTGCACATCACCTCCCGCGCAGGAAGTGACAGCATGCCAAGCTCACCCAGCCCAAACAGTGATGTCACGCGCAGACCCCGGGGTGGGGAGGGTGTCGGTGGCCTTACCCATGTCGTGGACCATGGCCACCACGTCCAGGGCGAGGTCGAGGCGCAGGCGGGGCAGGGCTAGGGCGGTGGCCTGAAGCGGGGTGCGGGCTGCCCGCTGCAGCAGCCCCAGGAAGGTGGGGGGGTCCAGCGCCCGCTCCAGGGTCCCCAGTGCCCCCGGGGGCCCCTGTGGCACCAGCACCACCAGGCTCAGGCCCTCGCTCAGCTCCAGCCGCCCCACCTGTGAGATGGTCCCCAGCGCTCAGTGCCACCGCAGTGACATCAGAGCCCAGCACCCTCCCAGTGCTGCCGCAGTGACATCAGAGCTGGGCAACCCCCCCAGTTCCACAGCAGTGACCTCACAGCCTGGCAAGCCCCAGTGCTGCCGCAGTGACGTCAGAGCCCAGCAACCCCCCCAGTGGCACGGCAGTGACCTCACAGCCTGGTATCCCTCCCATTCCCAAGGGACTGAGGTCACAGCCTGCGCCCCCCTCAGTGCCAGGGGAGTGACATCATAGCCTGGCATCATCCCCAGGTGCCACGGGACTGATATTACAGCCTCCCCCCACCCAGTGCTAGGGGAGTGCTATCACAGACTGGCATCCCCTCCAGTGCCACCTGAGTGACATCACACCCTGTTATACCACCCCCGCCATGTGCCAAGGGAGTGATGTCACAGCCCACCCTCCCAGTGCCAGGCAGCGAGGTCTGGGCTGGTGGGGGGGATACCTGGACCTGCAGGTGGGGGTCGATGAAGGAGGCCACCGGGTACTTCTTGCTGGTCATGGTGGGCACCAGGCGGGGGGGGCGCCCGGGGCGCAGGAAGGGCAGCGGCACCGTCTGTTTGACCTCCAGCGGCGTGCGCCAGGCAGCTGTGGGGACATGGCACCGGGGCTGCAGGGGACAGGGGGGACCCGGGGGGCCACGGGGCAACCTCGGGCTCAGCCCCATGCCAGATCCCAGGCGGATCCCGGGGCAGGTCCCCGAGCCAAGCCCTGGGGCAGATCCTGTCACCGGGGCTGTACCTTGGAGGTGGACGGCGCTGAGCAGCAGCAGGCGGGGCTGGGGGGGTAGTGTGGGCAGGAGGCTGGGCAGCAGCCCCCGGCTGGCCTTGCGCACCCACTCGTTGATGTGCAGCAGGTCCAGGCTCTCGTTGCCACTCAGTGTCCGTGGGCGGACGCGGTAGAAGTGCCACGACTCATTGAGGAAGCGTGGCTGGAGGTGCAGCTCTGTCCGGCAGCACGGCTGGCGTCAGCCCTGTGCCTGCCTGGTGTCAGTGGCCCTGCCAGTGCCCGGGCACCCGCCTCACCTGGGTCATGGAAGATCTGCACGGCGGAGAAGAGGCCGGGTGCGTCGGCGAGCTGCTGCAGGGCGCCGTGCACGCAGGTCAGCTCCGGTGGGTATGCCAGGATGGCGCCCAGGCGCTCACGGGTCTCACCGCGGGTGCCTGTGGGCAGAGGGGAAGCTCAGCGAGGTGCCCGTGGGTGCACCTGCTGCTCCAGGCTGGGACAACCTGGGGGCACAGGTGGTGCCTGTAGCGATGACGAGTGCAGTACCCACGGCAGTGCCAACAGCAGAACCCATGGTGGGGCCCACAGCAGTGCCAATAGCAGTGCCAATAGCAGAGCCCATGGTCGTGCCCACAGCAGTGCCAATAGCAATGCCAATAGCAGAGCCCATGGCAGAGCCCACAGCAATGCCCACAGCAGTGTCGGTGCCAATGCCCACAGGCAGCCTCTCACCCAGCAGGAGGTGCGAGAGCCCCATGGCGATGTTGATGGGGGAGAAGAGCAGGTTGGCATCGGGCTGGGCAGCCTCCGCCATGTGCTGGTAGAAGCGGAGGGCGAAGGTGCCCAGCGCCTCGGCCACGGCTGCCTGCTGCTCCCCCGTGGGCACCCCGCAGACCTCAGCTGGCTCCTCATCCCCGGGGCACGGTGGGGCGCTGGTGCCCGGGGTGCTAGGGGGGCCCTGGGTGGTGCTGGGTGTGGATGCTGCTGTGCTCCTGTGGGTCAAGGTGCCCGGCTCCTCGGGTGCTCCCTCAGGCGCGTTGGGGCTGGGGGGCTCTGCAGCCTTGAGGGGGGCATCCAAGCTGGGCAGCTCCTCGGGGTGGGCATGGGTGGTGGGCGCAGGCAGGACGGGTGACCCCACATCCCCCAGCGAGCCTGGGGCAGGATGGGGGGACACCAGCAGCATCAGGTGCTGTCTGTGCAGCTGCAGCAACCTGGAAGAGGCCTCTGCCGTGGGCACCTGGGCACGGGGACCTGGGTGAGGGGGGGCACAGGGGTGCCCAGGTGGGGGATTCAGGTGAGGGTGGGCATGGGGGCACCCGAGTGCAGGAAGCCCACATCCCTGGGCCACACTTACCGGGGTGACAGTGGCTGTGGCTGCGGCCACCAGCCACACCAGGGGCAGACAGAGCATCATGGTGGGCATTCTGGTGGGCAAGCACGGGTCAAGGGCTTGACGGGCACCCAGCAGCCCCACCCCAGCTCCCAGCACCCCACCTTGGCACCCAACACCCTCCCACTCCACCCCGGCACCCTGCACCCCCATTCCCTACATCGCCTGTACCCCCCTGCCCTGTGCACCCCCACCCAGGGGTGCCCCTGATCTGACACCCCCCCCGGGGAGCTGGGGGCGGGAGGAGGCAGCACCCCGGGCCCACCTGGGTGCCCGGCGGGTCGGGTGCCTGCGTGTCCAGCCGGGTGCGGGGGGGATCTGGCCAGATCTGGCCCTGCCTGGTTAAAGATTAAGGAGGGCGGCGGGCAGCTGCTGAGGCTTCCCGTAAATCAGCTGGGCTGGCGGCTGGGGGGGCCCAGGGCAGCCGGGAGGGGCGGGCTGGGCGCAGGCGCCCACGGCAGGATGGGGCCCCCCCGCCCCCTCCAGCCCCGCGTCCCGCTCTGCTCCTGGCACTGGAGGACCAACCCGCTGGGACAGGGACCCTTGGGGAGGTGGGGTGGGGTGCTCTAGCCACTCAACTGCCCTCCCTCTGTGGCCCCTGTGGTGACAAGGGGCAGTCTCACCACTCAGGCTCCAGCTCACGTGCCTGGTCCTTGTTCCTCTGATCCCCTGGTGACCTGCGGGGAGGCCCAGGTGGGGTGACCCCCCCCAGGTCCCTCCCTCCACATTTCTCTGCTGCCTGAGGCGGGGTAGGGACCACCCAGTCCCTTGGCCCTCCAGCACCGGCCAAGGGAGGTCCTCGGTACACCCCCGCCCCGACAGCATGGGGATGACCTGGGAGCCTGCCTGCCCCACACCTTTCCAGCCCCTTGGGCTGCTCCAGGAGAGTCTGGCCCCTCTTACATCAACTCCATGATCTCCTCTGCCTGGTGCCAGGCTTGAGATTTGGGGGTGTGGAGTCCCCAAGGAGCCCTCCCACCCCAGAAGTAGGAAGGCCCAACCTACTGCCTCTGGGCAGCCAGCTGTGGGGCAGGCTGCCCTCGCCCCTCCTCTCAGCAAGCCCCGGGGCAGGGACAGCTCTGGGCCTCCCACCCTAGCAGAGCTGCCCTGCCCAGGGCTGGATGGGGCACGTCTGGCCACTCACTGCCAACTTCTGTGGCCCCAGGCCACCCAAGGCCTGTCTGGCCCCTCATCCCCCCCATCTCTATGGCCCAAGGCTGCCCAAGGCCTGTCTGGCCCCTCCCCCCCATCTCTATGGCACCAGGCCGCCCAAGGCCTGTCTAG